AAAGCAGTTGTAGAAGTGGGATGACAGTAGATCAGCTGATGCTGTCCCTGCCTTACTGGGGCAGTTGGACAAGTCCTCCCCTACATGGAGGGTCACCCTAGGAATGTCTATCCTCCATACACCCATACCTTCCTCCTTGAAACTTGAACTGTCTCTTTCTGTCTTAACAGTTCACATGAATATATATATTCATTGCTCGGGGACTGCATTGCTTGGGGATCATGACTTGAACATGAGACAGCTGTGTGATGTTGCAGGAATGAAGATGAATGCTATTTTAGCCCATATTAATAGAAGCATAGTTTTCAAGTCAAGGAAAGTCATAGCCCCAATATATTCTCCATTTAATCTGGAGTACCACATTCAACTTTGAACATCTTATTTTAAGAAGGATATAGACAAGCTGAAGCAAGTTCTGAGAAGTGTAACAAGGATGGCAAGGGGACGGAGAACAAAACATATGAGGGATGATTGGAAGAGTTGGGCATGTTCAGAGGTGGAGTGGCATGATAGCTCTCTTTAAGTACCTTCAAGGATGTCACAGAGAAAAGGGTGCAGACCTCTTCTCTGCTCCCACAGAAGGTGAACCAGGTATAATAGTTGAAGTTACTGGAGAATGGATTTCAATTAGAAGGAACTTCTTGACCATAAGAGGGATTCAGCTATGGAGCCTGTGCTGGGATCTCCTTCTTTGCTACCACTTCCAAAAGACATTGGGCTGCTGGAAATGCTGAAGTTGGAGATCCTGCTTTAACCAAGGGGTTGGACCTGAGAGCCCATGGGGCCAATACTTCTGGTATCTCAACAATATGTCTTCTAATTGCAGGGAAACATCAGTAGCAGGGTGGAATAGTACCCATGCTTTGTATGTGGGCTTCCCAACAAGGAGATACCAATGTGCATATTACTAACAGGATGTCAATCAATTTGTGAAATTCCTGGTTATAACATGAGAAAGGAAGAGATAAATATAGCATTGAATTCCAAACTCAGGATTATCCATAGTTTGTCCAGTTTCTATGCATGATTTGGAAAGCTGGACAGTTGAAAAACCTGACAGGAAGGAAAGCAACCCATTTGAAATTTGGTCCTGAAAAGGAGTTTGATGGATTGCAAAAGGACTTGGACTTTCTCTAGAAGCCAAGAGGACTAAACCGAGACTTGTTGCACTTTGGACACATCGTAAAAAAACAAACAAACCCATGACTCACTGGAAAAGACTATAATGCTTGGTAAAACTGAAAGCAATGGGAAGAGGAAGACAGAATCACAGATGGATTGATTGAATCCATGGCCCTGAGATCTCTGATTCATAGTTGGAGCCAACCTGACAGCAATTAGCAACGAATGACAAATAACACACAACCAACAACATGCCATATTGATGAAGTATATATTCTATTAGATATAGAAGGGAAATGAGCTTCCATAGAATAGGGCTCACTCCCATTAACATTTGATACAGGGTCACAGCTTCATCAGTCAAGAGCATATTCAGGTTTGGTCATTCTCTCTGCTCACCAATATATAGGCTTCTAGTGATATGTCTGGCCCCATCTGCACTGTTATATAATGCAGCTTGAAACTGCATTGTATGGTTTGTCTAGACTCAGTTCATATGAGTCTACCCTGACGATATAATGCAGTTTCAAACTGCTTTATATGGCAATGTAGATGGGGCCTTAGCTCCATGATTAAGAGCTGTACGATTTCTGATTACAGGAAAAGACTTGCATGATGGAATTATCTCCCATCTCTGCAAGAAAACTATGTTGAAAAAGGAAGACTAGGCTTTATAACAGTTTTTAGATGCCGGAATCTTTTCCATGACTGCAAGGGGTTCCTGCTGAATGAATTTATTCATGTTCAACATTCTAGCCAAACAAAGGGCAATCAGATGGCTATGGGAATACCTACTCTGGGCAGCTGTGATTGGTACTTCATGTAGCAAGGATACAGTAAGACTCCCACAACAGCAGAACCCACATCTTACCCACTTACCCACACGTGGTCTCTCCAGGAATTTGCTATGTCCTCAAGACAATTCTATGTTGTTGTTGTTGTTGTTATTATTATTATTATTATTATTATTAGTATTATTATTATTATTATTAAACAACTTTATTTATACCCTGCCACTATCTCTCTTCAGGGACTCGGGGCAGCTAACATGAGGCCAAGCCCAACTAATACAATAAACAAATGAAATATATACAGCAAAATAATAGTTTGAATTAAAATTAAAATTAAATTAAAATAATATACCACAATAAAAAACAATAACATAAAAACAATAAAGGAAAATTAACACAGTGGGATATAATATCAGTTACGGGCAAGGAGTAAATCAGGATGGGCTAGGCCAAATGACAGAATAAAAACAGAAGCATAGGGTGGGATAGGAAACTGGAGTGAATTATCTGGTGGGAAGTACAGGAGGAACAAGCTATGGGGCTTAATTATCTGCTAGGGATAAGGAGAAGTGCATCAAGAGGATGAGCATATGCTGGGACGGACATGGTATGGGGATTGTTGTTAATTCATCAAAAGCAAGGTGGAACAGCCAGGTTTTCAAGCTTCCCCTAAAAGCTGACAAGGTGGGAGAATGCCTAATCTTCCCAAGTAATGAGTTCCAAAGCTGGGGGCCACCACTGAGAAGGCCCTCTCCCTCATCCCCACAAGTCACCCTGAGGTGGGAGTGAGAGGAGAGCCTCCCCAGAAGATCAAAGGAGGCATGTAGGGTCAAAAAAGGAAATGCAGCCGTGAAGGTAGGCGAGTCCCAAACCAATATGTTTCCCATCTGCTACCACAGAGCCACTCTGGAGGACCTGACAAATTCCTGGGTATGATAGCTCTCTAGGCATTTCTAGGTCCTCCAAGATGATGGTATTGAAGGTCAGATAAACTAATGGTGTTTTGCCATATCTGCTATTTTAGGCTGGGAAGGAAACAGGTTCTTTCAGATTTTGAGGTATTACTATAATGCCATTATCTGTGGATCTCAAGAGCTATCATTTCTGATTCTCAGACCGTAGCACTGAAATATTGTGGACTGGGAACCCACCTCATACATTACATTGAGTATATTTGGGTTCGGGTATAATGGTGTGCCCCATTGAGTTTTGAGATTACTAGACCTCATAATTAGCTCATTTGGTGTACTAATTTGTTCTGCTCCTCATACTCATGACTTTTACAAGTTGCACTGTATGTCAGTACATCAAGAAATACATTAATTTCCACATTTTCCAAAAAAACAGGAGTTATTTGTAGGTATGTATTCATGTATGACTGATCTGTGATTGCTAGCCAATATTTGGGGGGGGGGGGGGACAGGATTGAGAAAGTGATGAAAACATTAAAAGTGGGAGAGAATTCTTAGGAAATGTATAGGCTTCACTGTCCTCAAAGGTTAACTAAGAAAGCTCCAAAATATTGAGTTGAATCCCACAGAGCCCAAGGAAGTCCTTTATTACCATGAGCAGATTGTGCCCAAAAAGCATTTGCATCAGATGTATTTTTCATATACTTTTCAAGCCCTGAGGTCATGAAATTTTTCTTGGGTCACCTTTGAAATTCTATAAAGTTTCACTGTAGTTTGAAGCCTAGAAATAAATAAGCACTCAAGCAAAATGTCAAGAATATTTCATAAAATCACTGCATTAGGAAAAGAGAAAGAAGGGAGGTGGAGGGAGATGATCAGCGGAGAGGGAGGCTTAGAAAGCAAAACCTCTCAACACTCAAGTCACAACCTTGGATTATGACAGTACCATGTCTTCCTACTGTCATATTTAGGCAGGACAGTCCTGATTAATCTGGTCATTTCACTTTTTTAAATGGGTTTAAAATGTCCCACTTTTCTCCTTTGTCCCTCATTCCCTAATAGTAAAATGCAAAACTAATTTTTACTTAGTCATCTCAATGGAATCTTGTCCTGCCCAGTAGTCACTGGCAAAAGCAAACTGCTCCATTCTCTCCTAGTTTGTGTGTTTGTTGTTTGCCATCATTAAGTTGGCTCTGATTCATGGTGACTCCATGAATAAGAGACCCCCAAGTCACTCTGTTATTGAGATTATTCATTTGTAAAGCAGTCTTCTTTTTCTTTTCTATTGCATTCAACGTTATCAAGCATCATTGTATTTCATGTGAGTCATGCCAAGGTCCAGAAGATGAAAAGAAATCCTCCATTCATCCCAACTGTTGCTGTCCTAGCTTCAGAGAAGAAGAAGAAGACACAGCTCCATCATGTCTGGGTCCCAAAACAGATGAAAGGCCTGCCTTCCATCCTAACAGCTACTGACATGTCATGCATAGAGATAAGAACCAGCAATTTCCTCCTCCAATCCTATTCCTCTTTTCTCATGAATCATGACATCTCATGATATGGCCAAAATATGACCATCTAAGTTTAGACATCTTGGCTTCTGGGGCGAGTTGAGACTTGATTTGCTCTAGGACTCATCCATACTGGCCATGTAAACTCAAAGTCAACACTTCATTACGTTTAGCTCCTCTTAAGCTGCAAATTGCATTGGGAGGAAAGATCTCAATGTTGATAGCAATGCAAACAGCAGCCTGGAGAAGAATGTCAGGAGCATGTGTGTGGGGGAAAGGGTCAAAATATTATTTCCTCACTCAGCATTTCCAATACTGATCAACACTACTTATGACTGCTATTTAAATCTCTAAACAGATTGACAGAGCTTGAAGAAACTTGCATAGTTTAGCCCTTGTCCTCACAGATGTGGTGCAACCAATCTTCCACCTTCATCCCTCTGGAATCAAATTGTGGGATTCCAGTAACATAGTCCTGAGGAATCCATTGTTCAGCAAGAAGAGTTTAGAGTAATATTACAAGACCAAAGAAATGGTGTCAATTATAAAATAATGACATATATCTAGTACATATGTCAAAAAGATGCCACTTTTAGATCCCATAGTCTGAATACCTGTCAAAACTCATTTTAAGCATGCAATTTTTCAGGATATATCAAACCTACCTGTCAACAAAGGCATGGTGAAGGATGAAGATGGGGTCATTGGCTGATCCTTGTACTTCAGACATGGATCCATTCATGTAGATGTGCAGTGCGTTATGCAGACTGCTTTGAGATACATTTGATATTGCAGTACTTGGATCAGCAAAGCCTGTTGGTGAAGAGATTGGTAAAATGATAGTGATTGGTAAAAGACAGTCCGTGGCATCCTCTGTTACAGTTTATGGATTTGTAACCTAGATTTAACAATCTGAAACTGCTCAATAATGCTGTATATTCATGATGGAGGCAGTATAGCTTTCCCCAAAACCTGCCTTAAACTCCAGGAAGCCACTCCAAGTGATGAAGATCGATTCTGGTAGTGATCAGGCTGCAGGGGATGATGATTCCAGCTCCCTCCAGCCCACAAGCAAGACAGCAACAATCAGAAGCAGGACCACTCCCACAACTTCATATTGCATTACACATCACTAGCTACTTGGAGGGGCTGGAAACACTATCCTATTGTGCTTGAATCCTCAGAAGAACATACATCTATCACTTCATGCAGCTAAAGGATGCTAAAATAGGTTTGGTGGGGTTGGCCCAGGAGAGGAAACTAAGGACACACCTTTACTGTAAAATTAATATAGTTTGACAACATTTTAACAGCCACAGTTCAATGCTATAGAATCATGTAGTTTGGTGAGGCACAAGCACTCTTTGGCAGAGAAAATAAAGTCTATGAACATGCCACCTCACTCATCTTAAGAGCCAAAAGTCTAAATATTACTGAAAAGCAGCATTTTTCTCATCCTCAATGTGAAAAGATGCCTCTTTACAAGTGAAGGTATCCTATTGGAAAATAACTGTCAATGGAAGAAAGGATACCTCCTTCAATCATGATTATCATCATCAAGACCAGTAGCAAAATGTTTTATATTTTGTGCAAAATACATTGTACAAATTCAAGTAGTAGTTGCCATTAGTTATTTTAAAAAAATACACTGAAGGTTTCAAACTGTTGATCTGTTATGCAAACTATGCTTTCTTTCCTTGTTATCACCTTTGCATCCACAAAAAAGCATGAATCAGCCCTGGAACCATGCAATATTCCTCCTCCACCAATTAAATGAGTCCAGCCCAAGAGTTATAGAAGTAACTTGAAGTACTTTTTTTTCCATGTCAAGAGCGACTTGAGAAACTGCAAGTTGCTTCCGGTGTGAGAGAATTGGCTGTCTGCAAGGACGTTGTCCAGGGGACACCCAATTTTTTTATATATATTTTACTTGTTGCAATCCAGAGCAGGGAATGAGGCCCTAAGATAACTATCCACCACACTTGACTGTGAAAATCCTTTTTTATTGAAGAAAAATGGTTACAAAATAAAGGAAAAATGCAAGTCAAAAGCCACAGCAAAATCAGCAAACATGAATTTAAATGGACAAAGCAAAACCGAAAGCCACACTGTAAAATACTGGAACCTGTTAGCAATCCACTAACCGTGCTTGATATCCTAGAAATCTTTCAAGAGCATAGCCAGGGAAACCGGGAGAACTGCCAAGGTCTTCATCAATCTGAAACGATGCCTGAACTGAGAAAGTCAGCCCGGTGGAAGGCACTTAAAGCCGAAGAATTGGTTCCGTGAACCGCCCCTCTGCTTTGAAGCCATTGTTTGTATTTCTCTTAATCGGGAAGACCTACGCAAGCTGAGTGATTTACTTCTGTCTTGCCAAATCTGGCCCCTTCTGTTCTCATTAAAGTTACCAGGTGCAGAAGAGAGTGAAAGGTCATGGCTTCCCTCTGAAACATTCTCATGAACACTGGTACTTTCATTTTCCAAATCTACAGAAGTTTCTTCCTCACTAATTTCAGGAACATTGGCATTTTCCAAACCTACAGAAGTTTCTTCCTCACTAATTTCAGGAGCATATGGAATCAAGAGGTACATTTTCATTAGCATCAGTAAATATATTTTCATTAGCATCAGGAGGAACAAACAGAGAATCAGGTTCAAGTTCAAACTCAGGCTGAAGCCCAACACTACTATCCTTGTGGGAGGCTTCTCTCATGTCCCCGTATGGAGAGCTGGAGCTGACAGAGGGAGTTCATCTGTGCTTTCCCCAGATTCGAACCTCTGACCTGTTGGTCTTCAGTCCTGCTGGCACCAGGATTTAACCCATCGTGCCACCGGGGGCTCCGCACTTGAAGTACTAACAGTAATATTATATGAAAGTGTAACTTAACAATGGACAACATTATTCATTGGAGTTTGTTTAGTTATTGGTCTTGGTCAAGAGATTTTGCAAGTTGTACTTCAAGAAAAACTTCCAAGCATTGGAGCTGGCTACTTGTAAACTTAAAAGCAAGCACGGAAAACAATGCTGTTTGCAGTACCTGAGTTAAATGCTTTTAACATAGAGATTCCATTAAGTTATCATGGCTACTAGCCATTGACAGACTCATTTACTCATTTCTTCATGAATAATTCCTTCTTTTTAAAAAGCCATCTTGGCCTGATGACAACAGCAAATTTTGTGACAGTAAGTTCCATAAGTGAATTAATGATACAATCTACAATTTTTCCCCTCATCTAAAGTACATCTTGGACAATATAAATGAAGCCTGAATAGGTTGTGGGAGTGCATGGAAATGGATTTTGTTTCAGTATGTACCAACCACTGATGTGAGTACAGAATCAAGCCCTTTGATTTGCATCAATAAAACAAGTTCTGGACCAACTGACATTTCTAAATAATTTTTAAAAGCAACCCTCAGATGCCAGAGTATCATCTTGACTTTCAGCCACCAGCTGGAACTTGGCACGAATCTGAAGTCGGTCGTAATTGAGTATTTAATATTCTTTTATGACAGAAATGGTTTTACATACTTTCAATATTATCAGCTAATGAGGCATGATTTGCTTAGAACATGGGCATTTTTCCCCATCATTCCCATCAGTGTCGCTTATGAGTTACTCATGTGTATTAGGAACTGCAGCCATGAATCACCATGGCAGGATAAAACACTGCATTAATGATGCTCATAATGACAGAAACTCATACATTTAACTTTGTGTGTACATGGAGTCAGCAACCAGAAAGTCCTGGAAAACATCAGAGCCCCAAAACAATTCCTCTTGGCCTTCCATCTGTCAATAACAGAAAGATCATAGAAGGAAAAATGACAAAGGCAACAGGACCTTTTTGCAATGTTCCTTGCAGGGCAAAGTTAGGGTTAGGACTTGGCAAAGTGGTATTTTGTTGAACAACAACTCCCATAATTCCTTAGCCAGCAATAATAAAACTTTGCCAAGCTCTGAATTTTGTTTGATGGGTTGGATTCAGAGAAATTCTTATTGGAAATAAAGACCTGTTCTTTTCTCCTGCAACAAAGGAAGTGTCCAACTTAGAGAGGTGGAAAACAGTTATTAGGATGCTCAAAAAGGCTATTTAGTAAAGAAATCATTTTTTAGATACCACAGTCTGATCTTCACTGAATTATTCTAGAACAGTAAAGATAGCAGACAGACACAATCCACCATATGCTCCTCCATGAAGAGAAAGCAAAAGCACGCACAGAGACTGGAAACAAACATGGGTCAGTCCATGGTTAGTTCTTTTGGTACAATAGTGATCCAAGTAGCACGTGTTGTAACAAACAGTATTTGGAAAAGAGACCAGAGCAGGGAATCAAGCAGCCAGGATAAGAAAGGTTAAGTTCCTAACTTCTTTCTGTCTAAACCTTCTTATTGCTAGCAGACAAGAGAATAGCAAGAACAATTGCAGAAATGGTTTCATCTTCCAACAAATTTGATAAAATAACTTGAGGTTTTGAGTTCTTTTTAAAATAATCATTAATCACTAATGTATCATTATATAGGATACTAGCCAGAGATCATGTTTATTATGCTGAATAAATATGGCTTGTAAGCAAGTATTTAAGCAGCAAGCTGTCTCTTGCCAGAATCTGAACACTGTAAGAGGTATTTGGCAGCGTAAAGAATGATATCCCAGACACTTGGTCATCTTGGAAGAAGACAAGTCTTATCTTGAAGTAAAAACTGGAATTTTCCTTTAAAATTCCCTCCCTCCTGCTAACAAGGGAATAGTCTTATTGTGCTTCCAGGGAAATAATCAGTTTTAACTATATTGTTTAATTCTACTAAATGAATACCCAACCAAACTTGCTCAGGCTGGTACATTCCCCCTGTGGTCCAGTTCACAGAGGCTGGGGGATTGTGTTTGTGTTTGAAAGAGGGCAAATATTTACATTTGATTGCCCTTGTCCATTGTGTGCAACTCTATTGTCTCCATCTAAGTGTCATTACTAGTGCCCAGGGGATGACTGGAAGAGGTCATGTTTATATCTGCCCTTTTCGCAGAACCTTTCATATATCATTTTAAGCAAACAGTGCCTTTTCTTTTGATATTCCCATAGAACAGTGGTTCTTCACCAGTGGGCCATGAGGACAAAAATCTGGTCCACAAGGTTCCTTCCTCTTTATTGATTTACTTTATTTATTTATTTTATTTCCACCCCTTTCATTCCGCCTGCCACTCCTTCCCTGTTGCTGACCATGGTATATGTTCTGCATTAGAAACTAGAGCTGATGTGGTCTATCCAATGCAATTTTTTGAATCAGAACCTCAAATAAAAACTAAAGTTGGCCAAAAACTGATTCATAACCCTTTTGATACCAATGTTAGAAAGTAGTACCTAGTCAAAGTGGTCCCTGGTCAAGTGGTCCCTGGTCAAAAATAGGTTGGGAACCATTGCCATAGGATAACACAGATGTCATGTTTTGCCCTACCTAGAGGTGTTTCCTTTAAATCAGGTGACAATCCCCAAGTTAGGAACAGGCTGAATATAAGCAAGGGGGCAAAGAAAGGCAGAATCTGCAAAATGGCAAAGCAAGACCAGCAGATACTCCAACAAAGAAGAACTTGCAAAGGATCGACAGAGAAAGAAGCAGATTCTTCAGAAAAGAAGTCTTCAAAAATTCCCCAATAAAAGCAAAAGATGTCTTAGCAAGGCTGAGCTACAAGGATGTCCACAGAGATTGGAAGCAGAATCATCAGTAGCAAGAGTCCCCCCCCCCCCCACACACACACACACATGGTAGATTTGGATGCTTCTTTGCATAAGAAGTCTGAGAAATTCATGTGTACC